CAAGAGGCAGTTTTCAAATGCAACTGAAGCACAGTGCAACGTATTAGTTCAGACAACTGAAGCTGGACCTTTAATAGTATACCCAATTTGGCTGATGGTGTAAAATCTCACTGGAAGATGTACGTCACCATAGTGTGACTGTGCATATTTATATCTGATCACTGAAATAAGTGAAACAGCTTTTATTTCAACACAAGAAAGCCAGGCAGGTAAGTGCTCTAGGAAGGAAATTCTTCTTTGTCCCTTTACCATCACCTAGAGTAGGAGTTGATCTTTACAGTATTCTTTACAGTATTCTACAGTAGCTTGTGATTTCAGTAAATTGATTCTTAAAATCTTGAATACAAGGCATTTGGTAATTTGAACTATTAATTAGCCTGTTTATTTGAACACATTTTACATTCAAATTGTTGTAACATTCCCTTTCTCTCTCAATTTTGAAAATTGACCCTCATGAAGAGCTACTGGTGACCTACAGGAGTAGGCTGAAGTCTTCTAGCTGTAAGAAATTATATCAATAATTGATTGTAAGTGGGACCTCTTAAAAGGTCAGCTTTCTTCAGCAACTAAACATCACCTCTTCTGAACAGAAGATTAGGTCAACAGAATTTCTTTCATTAGTTCTCATATGTGCGTGTCCACATTTGCTTTGTCTTTCTACACAAACACACAGAGAAACATATTAATTTCAGTGTCTGAATAACTATATTAGAAAAACTAACACAAATTGAAGGTTAATTTAAAGCAAAAATTGAACCCATTTACTGCAAGGAGAAACTTGGATGGGAATTTTCAAATATCAGAGAATTAAATACTCAAATCCCATTAAAAGTCAATATATATTGGGCACTGACCTTTCCAAAACTCTTCTAAAATTCTTAACTATAATGGCACTGATTAAGTTAAGCAAAGGTTGCATGAAAATGTTATCCCTTATTGGAGAAGGGGAAAAAAAAAAAAGAAGAAAATATCAACCAGCAAAAATATTGTGTACTCCCCCCATATTACATAGCTATCCCTTAAAAAATACAGTCTGAAAAGTAGTAACTTTTTTGTACAAAAATGATTTACACATCCATTATTTTTTTCATGAGTCAACGTAAGTATGGAATTTCAAGTGAGAAATTTATACAAACACTTTAATAATACAATACAGAAATCTATTCTAAAAATAGCTTTAAATAAAAATACAGAAATATGGAGAATGATTTAGTGTCTTTTTAGTCTGATGTCATAAAGCTGGAGCCACCTAACAACAAAGCAAACTTTTTACTTATTTCACAACCCCTAGCACCCCCTTCCCAGGATTAGGAACAAAGCATAGCAATGGAAATAGCAAGGTTGTTTTTACACATAAGAAATGGTGAGATTTGGGAGAGTCCATAGGAGGACTCAGAGGCTTCCTTAAGAAGTGAACAACACAAGCAGGGTACCGTAGGAGATGACTCTTGCCCCCCTCCAAGTTTTCAATTTACAGACTTGTAACAGCATATCATCTGGGCTTAGGGACATTATGCAGTCGAAGATTCTCTCCCTTTTCCCCTCTTTAGGATGAAATTATCAACACTATTCTGAAATGTTTGGACTAGCCTTAGCACTGCATTGTGTCTATACACCCAGTAATGAAGATGAATCATTCCTATTTTCACTGTAGCTGTAAGCAAGACAATTCCTTTTGCATCTTTAAAAATGTTTAATATAATGCCGTATTTAAAGTCAATTTAAAGAAGCTGTAATACATAAATACTAAATATATCCAAAGGAATAACCATAGTAGCAACCTTCCAATTTCCATGGAAACCCTACTTAGAACACAGGATACAAATCCTAGACAAATGTTAATCTCTTAAACCTATATAAATTCACACTTTGAAGATGCAGTCTACAAACAAAAAAGTGACTGCAGTATAAAGCACCAATATTCAAAAAAATGTAGCAAGCAGCAGAACTGTTGGTGCTCCTGATGCACAGAACTTCTCAGAGTCAGCCTGTACTACGCTATGCTAATAGCAGCAGGGGTGCTATGCTAATAGCAGCATCTAGAAAACAACACACCATGGCAGTAATGAAAATAACTTGGAAACTGATATCTTCCCATGCATGGGGTGGCAGTGCAGAAAGGTGGTCTGCATAGCTGTATTCTATTAAAAAAAAAAAACAAAAACCAAACAACAGCCCACAAACAAAAACAACCCCCTAAAACAAAAACACAGAGGGAAAAAACAAAACAAAAATGCAAAATTGGGGGCGAGTTAAGAGAAAATCTCTGATCTCTTCAAGCTCATTCCCTACCAGAGGAGAGTTCTTGGCAAAAGCTGAGGCTTTAGACATGTATGTTCAGCCAGACAGAGCATTAAAGAAACAATGTAGGACATACCACGTGGCAGCTGAATTAATTGTTTCTCTCCTCCAACCAGGCATTAAAAACTATCACAAGGATAACTTCCTAGGGCTAACAAATACACGGAATGTAACAACACATTAACCTGGCCTGACAGACTTACATACTTTAAGACCTTTCCCAGGACCCTGAAAAACAAAACAAAACAAAAAACAACCCCCAAAAACCAAATGAACCAAAATAGAGGTGCCTACTTCCTGTAAGCCTCTCTATACCTTGAGCCTCTGTGTTGCAGAATCTAGTAAGTTACTCCTTTTCTCGTTGCAGAGGGTGAAGTTCATGATTTGGAGAAGGTGTAAAATGAAGCAGGAGTTAGGCAAAGACCAGACTGGGCACTAAAGACCACTTCGTGGCTACTGACAATCAAATACAGCGGGACAGAAAAGAGCACTGACAACTCACCTACTTGGGAAGCACAGATGTCATTACCTGGATATGTAGAGCAAGGAAAGCCCCCATACTATACAGGCTGAAGCAAAATCATGATGCAAGTATTCTCCTAAACATATGTACTGGAAGAAAAGCTACAACTGGGTCAAGGTCTAATATCCTGTAAGTATATGACAAATGGCTAATGCTTGTCCCAACAGTACAATCAATTCCCTCAAATGACACTATACAGAAGACAGAAGTTTAAACAGATGCACAGCCAAGCAGTTCCACTGATAATCTTTTACAAATTGAAGTGACCGTCATGGATTTCTGAAGGAATGAAATACATAAACTCAGCTTTTTTGCTTCCTGATAATGTTTTAACTAATGCATGACTATTTCTATCTCAATAACATATCTTCAATTTTTTCTTGATTAATATTGAGCCAATTAGTTTACTCTTAATTGCCAATGCAATGACAAGAATTTAAGTAATTCTTTAGTATCTTTATCTGCTGTTTGACACATTTCACATTAAACGAAGAATGGCATATCCAGCTGAGCTTCCAAAGCTAATTTAGACAGGGAAAAAAGATCAATCCCCTGTGTTAGAATCTGACTGGGTTCCAAATTAAATGGTCTGAAACCTCACAGCCAGCAAGTAACACATTCTAGGTCTCCTTGGTTTGAAATCTAAAAGCATAAGTTTTACCTTCAACCACACTATCTTACCAGAACAGATGTGAAAAATACCTATAATGTAGCGGAGAGCTAAGTGGAATCAGAAATACACTGGGAAACAGGTGGAACTCAGATATATTCATTTTAAGGTTTTCACACTGTAGAGGACAAAAACCAATTTATTCACTTTCTAGTGGGCACAAAACAAAATGGCACTCCCAGTGACTGTGCCACATTTCTTAATTTTTCTGCAGAAATAATCCTGTGCAATAACAGTCAAATAAAAGTAGAGGAAAGGCGATACTAAGCTTAAGAGTAGCAGACTTACATGCATATGGTTAGAAATTAAGTCAGTGTGAACACAAGTAAAGTACTCTAAATTCACCTACAAAACACAGAGGAAGACAAAAATAATCTTCAAATTGTTAGTAATGTTGTAATGTTTTTTCTGTAAAGTAAATCAGATCTTGTCCCCTCGAGAAATGCTCATCCAATCAACCAGTCAACTACTTCCAACACAGGGTAGGGGAAGAAGTTAACCATTTTGAATTTTCAGCTCAAATGAATTTTGGAAAGATAATACAAATTGTTTTCTAATTTGTTCAACTGCTTAGCATCCAAGTGCATCAAAGCGCGATTTCATTCATTTTTGTCATGACACAATGAGGCATAAGAACACAACACCTTTACATGACAAAGCAACCCAAGATGAGTAGTATTTCAGATTCTCTGTTAAAAGTTAACTCTGAAGTGCACACTGCCATCACAGAACTAGAATTTCAGGAAAGATAATTCTACCACAGATACATGATTGTCGTGAAGCTTATAACCATACATATTTATCCATTTCAAATACCATCAGTAACACAGAACTTCTGCCGATGAAAAAACAGATTAAAGAAAAAGGGTAAAAAAAACCAGCTGGATAATCCTCAGTAATATTGGATTATAAAATGCAGAAGTTTTGACTGTACTGATAATCTTTAAAAATTACTCAGCACTATCTTAAAAATGAGACTGAGTGAAATAAACTGTCATTATTCATTCTTTAAAAGAGATCAGATAAAGTGTGTTCAAGACTGATAGTACAGGAAAGATAGTAAGCATAGAATACAAGCAGCCCCAAATTCTCAGTCTCAAATATTGTGACTACGTACAACTGCGCTACACAGCAGAAACTGTGACATGATTTTTAGAGGTGACAGCACTCATTTTAAGGGGAACATCATTTGGCTATCACCCAGCAGAATAAATTTGGCTGAGAAGTCGATTCAGGCAGATGAAGTTACATATCTGGATCTTAAGACACATACATTAACATTCTTATCCTTTAAACATTCAAAGATTCCAAAACAAGTACTATAGCTTACCAGAAAATCAGAATCAAAACCTAAGAACCAATGCATATATTTAAAATGAAAAAGGAAACTTAAAGTATAAATTCTAAACTTCTCTAAATGAAAAATGAAATTATACTTTGATATACACTCACACCCGCTGCCATGATAATGTTTTCATAAACGTACAGCAAGTTTTGAAAGATTACCTGGTAAAAATACCATCCACAATACCAATTGTCGACTCCTCTGCGGGAACATAAGAACCAATCTGTGCCATGACTGTGATCAATGCAACTTGCTTTATGTAGGAGCTCTTTCCTCCCATGTTGGGTCCAGTTATTATCATGACCCTTTCACCATCTCCCTGGAAACACAGAACAGTGGTCAAATACATTGTCCTGCACATGGTGCTTTTATAAGAAAGTCTGGTGTGCATATGTGCTTAGAGGGATAAAGGACAAGTCCTCAGGATTAAACGTTCTGTTTCTAGGTGAACAGCTTCCTTCATTCTTGGATTTCATCACATTCACTTTTCAAGATATTATGAAGTCTCAGATGGATAAATTTTCCTAAGACCTCTCCAGACTGGTGAGAAAGAAGCATTACAATCAGCCTTCATTACTCTTGAGCAAAATGAACAGAGTGAGGACAAACCTTCCCTTTCTCCACCAAGGAGCCAAGAAAGCACTCCAAGAACTTTCTGTGCAATTTTCTTTGGAGAAAGAGAGAAATTAATCAGCTTTTAGCATAGCTGTCCTAATTTGGTTGTGATCTTGATTCCTCTCCCGTTAGAGTTCTCATTGCCACATGGGGACAAGATCTGGCAGACAAAGACCTGACCTAGATTTTACACCCATTCATAATTGTCTGCCTTGGTACAACATACAGACATTCAAACAGACTGGCTACAACAAGAAATGAAGACATTGCCGAGTTTGGCAATACTTGACTGCAACACAGATAGTGAGTATACTGCATCTAATCTCTGATTGATCAGTGAATCTAACCAGTGAAATCCTATGGAAAATGAAATCACGAGCAAGAGCTTGTCTCAGTTCTCTATAGTACTGCTACATGTCTAGGGCTCCAGAATAAAACTGTCTTCCTCTGGTGCAAGACAATTGCTAATACAAATTAAAACTCATCAATGAATCTATAAAGCTTTCTCATAGCCTGAATCAGGACTAGGAAATTATGCAAGGACTTCAGACAACTAGACTTTTCCTTTCTACTGGATACATACAATGAAATCCAGCAATCAATGAACTAACCAAAAGTCAGCATATTCCATTGCCCATGGGAGGGACATGCAAGAAAGGACAAGCTGTGCATGATGAACATTAGCCATCCTACTTAGGAAACTTGGAATTGATCAGGCACTGTGACCAAAAAAAAAAAAAAAAAAAGAAAAATCTCCACAGAATAAATCTCCACCTCACGATCTTTACAGATTCATTTTTTGATCGCACTTTGATTCTGTTAATAGGGAAGAAAGTAAAATTCATATAGGACTGTCACTTTTATAAGATCATACAGAAGATACATGCAACCGGTATTTATTATATGTAAAAAGCTGTTTAGCTTTTGCTAAGAAAACCCATCCATAAGGAAGTCGCAATAAAGTCAAACCCCAGAAAATGCCATTATCAGGAATAAAGGATGGATGTAATAAAATGCATATGACTATACGGGAACAAAATTCGTAACATTCTAGTCTCCAAGATATAGTTTCAATACTGCTACTAAAATTTCACCAGGGCCACTATTTGGCTCAACACAACAGAATTTAGAGATACTTAAAACCAGAATGAGTTAATCTGTTAAAATCCACAGATTTCTTGCATGTGTTTGGTATCCCGCCAGGGTCACTCCAACCATGTGAGACTGGTGGCTGATTTGCAAAGCCAGCTTTCAGAAGGAACATATGCTGTAACATCAGACCAGAGAACCCATCTGCCCTTACAACTGCATACAACCATAACACCTAATTGGAATTTATGGCTGAACTTAAAAGTACTAAAAAAATCCATGAATATTTGGGGAGGAGAGGGGGAACAGAAGAATAAGATGTTTATTTCAGGGCACTACAGGAAAGCTTCTCCTAAAGTTAGATGTTTGACAACATTTCAGCTGAAAACATGACTGGAGATACATTTCCTGCTGAAAAACCAGAGGCATTTTAACAAACTGGGTTCCCACCCAGCTCTCTCAAAAAAGAGAGAACCCAAACCAACAGTAGAGCCAAAAGTGATTCTACCATGATCACTTGATTTTGTAATATTCAGTATTTAGAAAGCTAACATAAGAATGGGACTAACAGGGAAAAGTGCATGATGATTACTGAATGAAATGCTGAATTGTAAATGCCATCTGTTGCTTGTTCGGAGTTCACAAATAATTTTGAAAACATTCCCTGAAGTATTACACAATATCTGTATCATCGTTCAGTATAGAACAGCATTTAAAAATATTTCCAGAGAAATACATACAAATTTGAATGGTGTTTATCACAGCAATGCTCCACATCGACATCCGTTTCATACCTTTTCTATATTTACCATATGAAAAGGCAGTTACGTATTCAGTGTTAAGTTGCAAGCGTATTTTTTACATTCAATACAAACAGAAATGCAGTATTTCAAAAAAAGATATAGGCAGGTAAATGTTTAGCAAAAAAATGTCAAGAGGACATGTAATTTAAAAGACAGATTTTAGTTTTTCAGGAAAAAAAGAAGAAGGAAACAAACTAAAATATGCTCAGAAACAGGTATGCGAAATAAAATACGGCAATGTTTCCCACCTATGGTAATTGCGTATTTATAGCAATTTTAGGTAATTTAGGTCATACAATTTAGGTAACATTGCATAGGAAATGTTATGAAGTAGCTCCCCACTTCCTTTGACCTCTTGACAACAATACCAAGCAAGTAATAGGCTTACTACTTCTCAACATCAATCTCTATTGCAGAAAACAACAGCCAGAGGGAGACTTATGGGTAACATACAGCCTGCAAGATACACATGGGGGATCTTTATCATATGTTAATATGAAAGGCTTCTTACAACTAATGTGCAGTCTACACAGCATGTACTTGATACTACTTAGTGAAGAGTCAGAGCTCCAAGTCTGCATTGTCAGATTAAGAAAAGCTGTATGAAATTAGTACTTCCAGAAAGACAGGAAAACACATAGTAGAGAAATACCTAAAAAAAAAAATATAAGCTATCTTAGATTTAATTTGGAAAACTGAGCTTGTAACATGTTACACAGAACTTAAGTTGTTGCTATTTTGTATATTAAAAAACTCCACAAATTTTAGACAAAATTATGACAAAATGAAAACTCCTTCTGATGACATTGTTAAAAAAACTGTCATTATTCATTTGCTTTTCAAAAATAGCCATTTAAAACTTTCATTTTCCTAATTTTGAGATGACCTTTCTTTTCGTTATGCCATTCAGACTGAACAAGGTTGTAAAGAAAGCGTCTGGCTGCAAGATACCAGAAAAAGGACAGAACAGATGTGATCACATCTAGCAATATCTCTCTGAAATGCAACCACGCAGACTGTTGTATGATTAAATTATTTATTTTAACTTCCTGGCCAAGAAGCATATCCCAGATTCCTTCCCTTGAATGATTTTGAAGCTCAAACAGTATCTCAGTACTTACTGAAAGGTTAGTGGTATTTGGAACATACTGATCCTGTTCTCCCAGTAGTACATCAATCACAGGGTGCCTCCCATTTTTTATAATTATTTCTCGCCGATTATCTTGCACAATTGGTCTGCAAAAAGGAAGAGAAATTAATTTCAATGTTTATTGTAACTGCTTATTTAGAACTACTGTAACTAAAGTCTGCAGGAGGGTCAGATTTTTGTGAAAAAATACAAATGACAGAAATGAATTATTGCTGTCAAATACTTCTAAACACTTCCTTGGTTTCATTCAGTTTTAACCAAATATTAGCAGATTGGATAAAGAAATTTTAGAGTATTTTCTTCATTTTTTCATTACCTAGGGAACGTTTTCAGTCATTTCTGTGTATTCTAAAGAGCTACGAAATGAACAAGCAATAGCAACATCCCCAAACTGGAGGACAGTCTGCTTCCACCACTGCACCAACTTCTGCAAAGTGCCACCTTTTGCAGATACATTTCATATTCTCAGAATGATCTTGCTGATGAACTGGTCCAGCCTGTTACTGCATTAAGTCCTAACTGGAGCATGGGCAGTAAAGAAAATTGTCCAACTATGTATATTATGACTGATAACACATTAAACAATATAAATCAAAGACTACAGTATGACAGACCTGTAACTCTCCTATAATATCAGCAGCTCTCATAATCTGACAGCAACTACCAAACATGTACAAGAGTCATCAAACAATAACTGCCTATAGAAAGAGCTTAGTATCTAAGTTGAAACACTGAAATAACAGTACCTTTTTAGAAATTAATATGCAAACCAGATCAATACTAGTTACTTTTTTCCTCTGATCTCCAAACCATGTAAAAAGAAGTTTGGTCTCAAATGCTTCCAAAGCTACAAATTTTTCTACATGTCTACTAATATAACATGTATAATTCTATGTTACATATCTCCACATCTGAAAAGCTCCATCTCCAAGAGCTGTGTGTTCTTCACAAAACAAAAAATGCAAAAGAAGCATGTTTCTACTGAATTATGACTATGATTTCTTTTTGTTCTCTGCAACCTAGGTTTACTTTTTCATAGTAAACTGAAGTGCAGCACCAAAGTAAATGTGGCTTCATGTCTCAGCAATATTTTCCTGCATTAGAAGTACAATGACTCTGAAATAAGAGCAGCAACTTAGGAAAGTGGCAGCAACTGAGAAAAAAGAGAATACTGGAACAAAGCCACAGAATTTTTTGACTAGAAATTGACTAACAATTTGGGTGGACTTCAGAGGGAAGACAAGATGTTGAGAGTGTGACTTTTCTTGGGTTGGAGGATGATGATGCAATTTGAAAGGAAAATGGAGGTAAAATAAATGGCATATTAGGAACACAAAGCACTGGGGAAAGAGGTGCAAGCTGATCATGGTGTAGTTTTTTTAGCATAAAGATACTTCCAGCAGTTGTATAGCTGAGATTAAACCAATACAGACAGAGTCTTAGGCCTTGGGCACAAAGAAAGGAAATTTCACCCTCCATTTGTTGGATGGATAAGTTGTTTGGAGCCGTAATGTGATGGTCTGAAAAGGGAGGAGCACATACCTAGAAGCACTTCCTCCTGTACCTCTCCACCTTGCATTCAAGAGAGCGAGATGACAGCTAAATGATCTATTTGCCATTTTATAATTCTGCCCTCGTCTTTGGAAATAATTCCCTTTTTTTAACTGCTCGAGCCTCCTTCCATGTAACTGTGAGACAGGATATGGTTTCAGGATGCCATGAGCCTTGCTGACTGCCTGTTCTGGTTTCAGACAGCGAGGCCCGCAGAAGTAGGGCCTCAGCCACAGCCATTCAAAAGGTCTTCCCTGCCCTGTGTTCCCACAATCAGACAATCATGTGTCATGCAGTAAGGGGCGGGGGGGAAGGGAAGGAAAAAAAAAGGTAAATTGCTCTGGAATGCATATCACGTCCTTTAGTCATGCACCACCTTTTCAACAGTATTCCTTAAAAATTCACAGTCTGCAGAGTGGATACTCAAACATCAGATGATGATCTCTGGGCTACCTACACCACCATTTTTAGGTATCTAACTTTGCTGCCTGAGAACCCTGATACTGTAATTGTCTGTATGAAGGATGACTCTCCCAACACACAGGTCCCAAGATGCCTCAAAACTGTAAGAGGTGCTTACCTCTCTCCAACCACTGTGTGGAGCACCTGTGCTCCTGACTTCACAACTCATTTACATGCCTCAGGTAGGGTGATATGAAACAATCTTCACTTAATCAAAAAACATTCCTCCAAAACACTGAAATTAGTTAATATGAAAGTCCCATCTTTCCTTCAGTAGCCCTCCAAAATTAATTATTGACACCTTCTCTGCAGCTGAAGTTTCACTGAGAAGTCTCCTTCCTGCCAGTTTATAAGCTCTAAGCCACTCTTTAAAATTCAGTGAATTATTTAAACTCCACACAGTGAATTAATCAGATTTCAGTTTGTTTTCTCATCTGAGTATACAGAAATAAGTGAGCAATTACTTTCAAAGAGATTTTGATAGAGGTACACAAGATCCCAAGAGTCCAGAAGTGATCAATATTCTCTTTAATGCTGTATAAAAGCAGAAGCATATGTAAGTTGATTTCCCTTCATCCACATACATTTAATACATGATTTGCTGTATTTCCACAGGTCTCAAACGTTACTAATTCATATGGTTATTCCTAATTGTCCGAGCACTTGCAGTGCAGCCCCACAATGACAACGTTTAAAAAGTTACACACAGCACTTTTCAAAAGAGAGTATGTGGACTGTCTGGCAGAGGGAATGGCTGAGGACTGGAAACCAACAGCCCTTGCAGGCGTGTCTACAGTAAACCTCAGAAACAATAAGTGCTGGCCTCTAGGACAACACGCAGCAAGCTGAAGCAATGGTTCAGTGAGTGCCCAGTGCCTCTAGGGACAGAGACCTCATGGTATGGAAGAAGGTACCCCAGTGAGACTGCCTATCTCTGTGTGGGTGCAAGAGATGTTGGCTGATGAGGCGGAAAAAGACCTGAGCTGCAGGGTGTACATGCTCAGGAGCCAGCTCTGGACCAACCTCTGGGGAAGCAGGACTTGAGAGTTCATGTCTCCCCTCTGCAGAGAGCAGTGGGGACAGCCTTGGCACCACCAGAGTCCCAGGCTACGGCGCCCAGTGTCCATGTCCGGGTCTTGGGTAGAGGGAGGTGCACAGCTCATCAGATCTAACACATGATCCTAGATGAGGCATCATCACTGCTCTGGAAGCTGGCACTAACATTTACCTATTATTTACCTGAAATACATCTTTGAAACATACCTCATACACCTTAGAATCTTAGGTATTAGAAAGACATTATAAATTCAGACCTTGCGGAGAAAAAAAAAAAACAGAAGACAAAAAAATTTACATGCAAAGTCCAACATATATTTATATATATGTGAGATACAATCTACTAGACTCAAGTCAAACAATAGACAAAGATGTCAAATTTGAACTGCAATGTTTACAGATTTGCATTAAGCCCAGAAGTGTTGCTTTGCAAAATCTGATTAAGTTGAAACTACTATAAACAATTTTAATAATCCATTTTATTGTAGTACACATATTAAAATTTTTTTTTTTTAAAATACTCTCTTATAATTCCCTATAAAATCCTAAATAAAAATTAAAAATTTATTACCTGCAGTAGTCTCCTTGTTTAGCCACCTGGGCCAAGGAGAACAGACAGTCGATAGTTGCTAGGTGACCAATCGCTTTAGACACAGGGTGATAATGCTCACTAAAATGGCTATGCCAAAACAGGGAAAAATAACAGGAGGAAAAAAAGAGAAAAAAATAATTTCATACAGATACAAATGCACTGCCAAAATATACTCCATGCATGCTTCTCACAGGGCTCCTATGGTCTTTAAATTACTCTGAATTCAAATCTCCCAGCAGTGGATTAACTTACAATATGAGGACCCAATCTTAATCAAGACGGACTTCATGCTTCCGTTGTAACAGTGAATTATTTTTAAGCACAAAAAAGCAGACAAAATGAAATTCATTAGATAGCATATAAAGGGTCTGCAGTTGATCCCTGCTGCCTAAATGTGGTCTATAAAAATGCCACTGTTTATCACAGTGGCAACTGAATCCCAACGGCCAATTCACTTCAACCGTAGGTTACAGTCAAGAAAAATAAACTAAAAGTGGCTGAACAGAGGCGTTGTCTACAATTCCAATAAAATATGGTATCTAGAACAGAAAAGTCAAGAATTCTTTTTCCATTTATGGTATTGCTTCCCCCAGTAGAATAATGATGTTACCAGGAGAACAGAGTTTTCAGTAGAGTTCATTCTCTTAGTCCTCAAGAATTTATTTTCTTCCTCTCCTAGCCTCAAAGATACAACATGGAATATAAAACCAATAGGGGAGCAAAATTTAATAATTAAATAAATAAACAGAGGGGTGGGGAAGAACACTTTCTTACACACAAGTCTTCCCTTGTTGTATGCTGCTATCATACAACACTACTGAAAACAGCAAAGTGAACATGAAAAGCAGCAGAACTAAGTGAAGAAAGCTTAAATAGGTCTTCTCAAACTTACATGACTAATGTAGCGACAAAAAATTATTTTACAGAACTATTTTTGTAGTATTGCAAACGCAACACATCTGGAGAAGACTGAAGTAGAATGTTTTTCTAATTCCTACCAAATTTACAGAATTGCTGGGTTCCTACTAGAAGGCAAACCTTGGCATCAGTTATGTCCAGTGAGACAACATGGAACTTGTTAAGTTTTTGCAGTGGGGAAAAACGCACAAGTGAAAGTGAGGCAATTATCACTGCATGACATGAGGAATTTGAGTGGGTCTGTAATTCACAGAAGTAAAAAAAAAAAAATTGATAACCAGGCACCTGAAAAATCAAAGGTATTCAGAAGTTTGAGAAATATTTTTAAACTCCCATTTTAAAGATACTTTGGCTAAATAGTCAAGTAACTTCATTCAAAACTCTGATCTGAGACAAACAGATCTTCCGTGCCAGTTCTGAGGAACAATAACACTCCCATTACGTTCTAGCACGGACTCACAGTCAGTAGCAGGGTTAGCATACAAAATACAGGGCTATGGAGAATCATGCTCACCCAAGGGTGCCCAAACACCCTGAACATTTCTAACTCAAAACCCATAAGTAACACTGCAATTGTACTTAATTCTTTTTTTTTTTTTTAGTAATGACACACTTAACAGTGAAGCCATACTCTATTTCAATTAATATTAAAAGTGAATTTGTTAGCTTGTATAATAAATTCTTTTTTCATCTCATTTACATTGTACTTCAATAATAAAACTACTAGATTCAGTCTCACTCATTTACAGTCAGTCGTACTTTCGGGTTCTTAATGCTGTGATATTAGTTTTCACATTTTGAGAGCCACTTTATATATTTAATAGTTTATTTTCATCAGAATTTTAAAATCTAGAGACATCACTGCTGGTCTCAGGACTCAGTCTGCAAAGGTCTTCCCTTCAAATGCTTTAAATTGAAGAACAATATTTTAATTTATATCTTTAAAGTTGTTGTGGGCACCAAAATAGAATTATCAACTTTTTTTTTTAAGATAAAAATCTTTTTCTGTTCTTATAGCAAAAATAAAACAAAATAAAATACAATGATAAAAATTGACTCTATTTTGTAAACTCACTCTAAAAAATTTAGCCATTCAGCACTGCAGTCAAGGACTAGCTGCTCCCGGAGCTGATTCAGATGTCTGTAATTTTCTATAATAAAAGGAGAGTGGAAACGGCTGACAGCTTTCGTGCTGGAAGACAGAGAAAAGCCAAATAGGAAATCAAAGTTACTAAGCAATCAGTTACACCATCTACATGCAAAATTGGACCAGTTTTCTTACTCTCTGTGAGCCTTGAAAAGGGATGTTAAAAAAATGTTCTTTTATTGTGGTACCAAACTCCATCGATTCCAGTGATCTTTATTGTAAATAAAGTGACCGGTTACTGCACCGCTGCCCACTTAGAAGGCTTTTAAAATGTTTTTCACAATGTAGCATATATCACTGAAGTTTATATATTTCACAAAATTCTGTTCAGCAATAAGCTGCCCAAATGGATGACTTTTCTGAGATTGATTACATATACATTGAACTGCAAGAAAAAATTTCACTTTAAAGAGGAAAACTTCATGATAAGCCTGAAATAAACTTAGTAAATACAGACTGTCTTGCATGGATACTAGTTTCCATTTGGGGCACTTACTGTTTATTTATGTATTTTCATTAAGGACTCACTTTGGCATTCCTAGGCATTCCTTTACAAAATCCAGATTACCTATAATTTGCTATTCATCATCTTAATGCTGTCTAATCTGTGCAGTTTTAATACTGAATTCTTGCATAACTGAATAGAACTTCACTTCAGAGTTCACCTTAATTATGCCTATTTCTGGTGTGAGATGTCTGTGCTCACAAATTATAACGTTAAGATATTCAACTTGTTTAAATAATAAAAAAATGACTGAAAAAAAAAGCCAACTACATAATTCAGTGCATCTCTGTTTCACCTACTGGAAAAAGTATCCAAAACTATCTAAAATTATGCTTACATAACACTAAATACCAAAGCAAGCAAAGCTTGTCTGTATGAATAAGTAAAATGACATTTTAAATACACTAAGTTTATTGAGATGCACAGATATTTGCACAGCTACCTTTACCTTTCTGAATAAAATAAGAAAATTTATGAAAGATTTGTATCTACAAAATAGATGGATATCAGGACCATAGTTTTGACACTAATACATGTACTTTGAAAGATTGCGCAAATAATGTAGTGTACTAAGGATCTACCATGTAAAAACAAACGTTTTAAGAACTCCAGTTTTTCAGTTTGGTTTTGTTTGTTTTTAAGCAAAACTTATTACGGCAATAAATAAACATAACAATTTTTGTTGGTTGGTTTTCAGTTTAAAAAAAAAACAAACCACAAACACACACATGGAGCAATGAGAATGTGTACATAATTAATTGCAATAGCAAAATACCACATTTTTTTTTCTCATATATTAAAATAGAACAAACTTCAAAGACATTTTACATACCTACTAACCATAACCCAGTCAGATGGCACAAATGATTTATGGGAATTCTTGACTTCTATCATAAACTAAAACAAACAGAAATGTAATATTACACATCATGGGAAGTTAGGAAGACTACGGAACCATAATCATCATGTATCAAGAAATCTGCATGCATCAGAGGAAAATCATATTCAGCCTGAAGAGACTGAGCAGACCAGAAGCTAATGTTCTTTTTCCCCCAGAAGTGAGGGTTATGACACACACATTTTCTGCCGAAAGAGCAACTCCTAGCCTGAGTTGTTCTTGTGCCCTACCATGTTGCTGACCCATCTCTGCCCTTCTACTCCTCCATGAACTAACACGCTCTCCTCACCTCCCTCTTATCAAGCCAAAACCAGACTAAAGCTAGTAAGTCTTGCTTACCTGATCCTGACCAGGCCTTGCAGAGAATTCAGCATTTACATGGACTCTACACTATATACCACCTGTACTGAAGCTCCTTATCAGTGAGATATGCCTTCCTGCCTATGGATCAGTGATTCATACCGAGCCATAGTTACCTACAACATTTCACAGACAAGAGCTCAAAATCTCAAATGCTAGCACTGTATCTACAGCACCTTGCTTCAAGTTTGGATCAACTTGGGGTCAGAAAGGGAAGGAATAGAGGAAACCAGCAATAATGGCAAGAGGCTTAGCACAGTGAAATTTACGATGCGTTTATTGCAGTATTTTACATGATTCATGTCGGTTATCTTTGTACCACCAGCCTGAGGTCCTAGATGTCAAAGACTTGAGGCACTCTCACATAAAGAATTCAGCTGGAAAATAAATTTCTAGCAGAGATCAGATTAACCCAGAACCTGATCACCTTTACAGAAAATCACAAGACTCTCATCTGACAAAGCTGTTCCACTACAGTTAGTATGATTTAGATAAAACCTTCCACACCTCACCAGAATAGCCAGCAATCACCTTCAAGTACAAACAAGAGGAATAATCCTAACATGAGCACAAGACTCCAGAAAGGACATAGTGCACTAGTTCTGAATTTACCTAAGACACCTTGAAAATATTTGGTAGAAACCCTGAAATTGCATAATACAGATGAGACAAAAAGACTGATAATTGGTAGAAGCAGAGATCTGCAAAGATTCGAAAATAAGCCAACTGCTGCTGTTTTTTCTGAATTTCATCTCAAAACAATTAAATATGCTGTGTTTACAAAAGGAAGAAGAAAATAATACCACATTTGTGTCAATGCTGGATGACTAACTGAATTCAAAACAGTCTAAACTAACACAGCCAGTTCAATTGCCTGGTTTGTTTGTGTGGCTAGTGAGAAACAAGCAGAGAGGTTGCAATCTTCAAAACAACAAAAGCATTTGCTTTTTCATCCTTTAATTCTTAGCCTTATTAGATAAATAATAGGAGTATTAAATAAACTGGGCCCAAATCACTGCTTGTGCCATGTAGGAAGCAAACATTTGCCAAATGTAGCAACTTCTCTCTAAATCCTGCCTGAAATGAATAGCAATGCTATCACTATCTGGACAGCTTTCTGTCCTGTTTAGTGCACACTATGAATTACATTAGAGGTCTGGAAACAAAAGATAAGATAGATATGGGTGTAACCTCGTATTTTGGAAAAAGTATGTGTCAACTGAATCTTCATCAGAACTCTAACAGGAACTTAACAAATGTAAGTTAATAAACTTACTGAAAATCTAACCACGTATTCATAATCATGGGTTTGGGGGCACACACGAAGGAGCAAACAGTTTGATTCCACCCCCGAAGAAGGCCTGTTCCCTGAACAGATGTTCAGAGTGGGGAGATACATAGAAAACGTTTCCTGGCAGCTTCTCTTTCTTCCAGAACTAGCAAACTATAAACCTGCTTCTGCCCCGGTCGGTTGCGAAGCAGTGTTGGAATACTACATCTGTCAGAGTGCTACAACGACGTAAGAAGAATATACCATACACATGTGAGGAAGAAAGAGCTCAACTCAAAAAGACTTTTGTTATGCCTATGCTCTGTTCCTCCCGTACAGAGTGTCTTGCCTTTCCTCACTGACCATCTTCTCTAACCCTTCCTCTACTGCCTCTTTTGATGTCTCTGAAACACTCATACCAGATGTAATTAAACAACAGATATCCATAATCTCTGCAGCTCCTTTCATGAATTTACCAAGATAGATCTCTCTGAAATGGTTTCTGAGCTGTCCCCTGCTACAAAGGCCTCCTTTCTTAAACGTGTTTGTAGTGACTGGTGGTTTTTGAAACTCTCCTGTCCAGTTCACATCTGATTACTCCCTCAGATGCTGTCCTCTCTTTGATCAATTCTTCTCCTTTCCTTCACACACATGTCATCATCCACCTCTTAAACCAGCCTCTCTGAGAGAAACCTTTCAAATCCTGGCTCTTCTCTTCCTCACACAATACTTAAATGCACTCTTCCACATTTCCTCTTGGACTTCAGCATCCATGCTGACAGCCTACCTAACTCTTCAGCCACGTTTCCTCTCTTCAACCTCACCATCACAGGAAATATACACCCAAGGTCTTTATCAAATGCTGCTCTCTAATTCATCCCTTCTCACATTCTCTCTCACTTTCAGCATTGCCTGTCTGCTCCCTGCTGTGTCTCTTGGGTCCTTCTCAGCTTCCTAGGTCCTCAATGTGACAGGGGGCTGCTTCCAGCTCCTTCCCTCCCTGTCCTCACTGATTCATCTCTTTTACTCCCAACTCTCATTCAGTTTCCTAACTCCTTTCTTTTCCCAATTTTCTGGGGAGTTTTCCTCAGCCTTCCTACTCTCAGTTCCCAAAGGACAATGCTGAATAGTGCTACCTCACTGCTCCTTTCAGTTCCGCCACAAATTTGGCAGGATCTGTCATCTTTTTTTTGCACGGAACTTCTCAGCTTGCTGGAGTATGGCCTACATACCATCTAGCAAACAAAAGTTCCAGTCCGCAACCACCGTTTCTAAGAATTAGAAGTAAAATAACATTTATCATTCTTTAACACTGTTCATCTTCTCTCCCATCTTTCAAATTACAGTCTTAATCAGTACTTACAAATCATTTTACCGTTCTTCAAATTAACCTGATGCTGTGCTTCCTGGTTCTTTGAGAATATTTCAGCCCTTAATAGCCACATAATTAACCTTGGAAGTATGCAACTGTTTTTACATATACAGAAAAGCAAAGCATTACTGAACCAAATTCAACTGCACTGATGTGCTTTTATTATTTATATCACTAAAGTAATGGACTTAACAAATTAAAAAGTGACACTGTCACAAAATTGTTCTTTAAAGTTGTACAAAAGATTATAGTCAAATGACCTCATCAAGCATCACATGAAATGAAGACAGTTCAGTCAAGCCTAACTTTTAAGCTATTTTCTAGACAAGCAAGGGTACAGTCATACATAATAGATACCATATTACCTCTTGACCAGAAACTGTAACATACTCTGCAGAAGGATTCTTAATCTGTTTACGAATGTCCAGCAGATGCAATTGGATTTTAGAAAGCACATCCAGGATCTCCTCCTTTTTTTTTCTGATGACAGGGAAGTCTGTAAGGTCCTTGAACAATTGGGTTTTATCTCCAGTCCTATCCATAAGAAGCATAAGACAAAATAATGGTAAAACCAAAGATACGTTCTGGCAGTGTCCGTATTTTTATTTGTTATTTTCATTTGTATTAACACTAGCTTTATTCCCCTCTAAATACAGCTTTTCTGTTACTTGGTCATAGTACAGCACATTTACCGAAAGGCATTTTGTATACGAACTCTAAGAGGCTGCACCAAGATACCGCCCCCACCACCAATGTATTCAAAACCAATCTATTCTTGTTCCTTTCTACTCTATCACATTACGCTCGTTTTTCTATACTGAACCCTGCTGACTCGGGTTTTTTATTGTCTCTGAATGTGCACCCTGCAGCTTTCTGTTTGTTCACCTTTGGTCGAGCAGAGCAAGAAAAGGAAGCACAAGAAAGATCATTCCCTTCTGTCTCAATCCGTAATTCTGGAATGCAATTGCTGACCCAACCTGAAGCATCACAAGTGCCAACACCATCTTTACCATGATTAAATATGAAGCTCTAAATAATTTCTGCATAACATGAACACATTTTTGACATATTTAGAATTTGGCCAAATTTGGGCAGATTTTCATGAGAATTGCAAAGAAAAATCCCTCCCACAAGGCCTTCATCAAAGCAGAATGTCCTCAGGAGCTTCTCAGAGTAGCTTCCTCCTTTTCTCATGAAAAGATTAACCAGAGCATTTTTTAATACATGCAAAACAATACTCTTTTCTAGTCTCAATGTCAGAAAATGACAGAATTGTTTTGGCTGCACTATCTCAGCTCAGGATTGAAACCTGAAACAGACAATGCCGTTCAAGTGTTTAAAATTGGGAAGCTCAACAAGCTATGAAAAATATGGTTGTCATCAAAAATAACAAAAATTTAACTTATCCTAATAAGTATCAGGCAAACAATAAAAAGTAGTGCAATCAGCCCTAAGTTAATTGGAATGTACATTTGTATTTTAGAGCAAATACAAAACTGGTACAAATGTACCAGTTAGTTACATAATTAGCCTGAAATCTAATATTTGGAGAGCAAGTAATTAGCAAACTGAAAGTAATAAACCATGGAAGTAATAAAAAGTCTAATATGCTACCTACTCCGATACTCCTTTGCCTGAGAATGAAACTACAACTGGAGCCAGTGACCAGACAGGTAACACAAAGCTGCTCTTTGCTTTCCTTTTGCATTACATGGACATAGTTATTATATAAGTGAGAGAAAGATGCCATTTTAAAATACAATACTAATTTTTAGAAACGATTTTGTGCTAATTAGACCTGTTTCCATGGGAATGCAAGGAAAAAAAGATCGCTAGTAGCCGGCAGCTGACTGTGAAGACTGTGTCACTACTATGTGATGCCTACCAAAGATTTAAAAGTTGACAGTTTAAAAAAAACCACAAACCCCAAAATCTCAAACTCCCCTGGAGTAGTTTTGAAAACCACTACAGGATTTCATCCACACCACATAATAAAATTAACACATGATGCAGTATACATATGTGTGTGCGTGTGTGTGTGTGCATGTATGTATAAGAGCAGTCATCATTTCGATGAAATAAAAACTTTTGAGTACAAATCATATTGCCACACAAGTTTGAGATATATAAAGGCCAAAAGGTAAGTAATTTTGTAATCTTGAATAAATGCAAATGAAATGTATGCATTCTGCAGATCAATGATGAGATCTTCTACTTATACTGTTGTATCTTATTTTGTATACTATTCTAGCCATCATCAACACAGTGATGGAAAAAACCCATATTTTAAACCTACTTTACTTACAGTAAATCTGGTATAATTAAGATACAGTCTGTTTTGTCATACCCTGCCACAACTATAAGTGGATACCACGCATCAGTAGAAATCTCATAATCCCACCTGTCCAACGGGCGTAGCAAATATTTCTACCCTTCTCAACTTCTAAATTTATACACCTTGCATCTGTCTCTAATTCAGAAGCAAATAAAGTAAGTTCTAGGGTTTAATTCTTAAATTTCTTTAATTTTAAATCTCAGCTGGAGAAAGATAAAAAAGATTTTATAAATAAATTGGACGTTTATTTTTTAGTCTGTTTTGAAAGTAAAAGATCAAGACTGTGCTGCCCCAATATAACTACACATTAAACTACCTTTCATCAAAGAATCTCTAGGTATATCACAGTGAATTGTATCTCATAATATGACACATGAGGAAATGTTAAAAGTTAAATGAAACTTGCTCATAGCAGGGAAGTTTAGGATGATCTGGATATAAAGCTGGATGATACTCATTTTGTGTTCAGAATGTCCTCTCAACATGTCGTGTAAACAAAAACTAGGAGACCAAAAACCTGCAAAGTCAAGTGCTCAGAAAGCTTGACTGTGCAAGCCAGACAGACTCCCTCTGTGCCTAGCACCATAAGAAAACCTTTTTTTAGAAGATTTTATACTGCTTTTTTTCTTAAAGACAGTGACTTTTACTGGCCACAATGTATTCCTCCTAAATCCCGTCCCCTGAGAGATTTTTACACATCTCTTCCTTACTGAACTCATGTTCTTGCTTTATTATTCTGCACCTTAAGCCTCCTGCCCCCTTCTTTCTGTGGTTAAAACTAGGACCTAGGGGTAAGAATGGAGGCAGCAGTAGAAACAGTACACAACAAATTATTTAAAGACACTCTCCCATATAATGCATATTGATTCCAATTTAGCATCTTCTTCCTTTGTCTGCCATTTTTTTAATTGGACCAGAGAAGGACAGAATTAAGACGAAAAAGAGCAGACAGCCTCCATACTTCCAGCTCATCTCTCCAAGACTGCAAGAAGGCAATTGCAGGAAAAAGCCTGATCACACCCAGAGCCTGAGGTAGGTGCTCGTTCAGTCATGCTCCAGAGGGAGTCCATGAACAGGGCACCAACCCCAGAAATGTTCTGACAGGGTACAAATCACACAGCCTACATGGAATCTTCAGGGCTATTAAACTTCATATTCTTTGTCATTAGTGAGCATGTAAAGAGATTTTTAAAAAAAGATGGGGGGCACTCAAAGCTCTGATGAATTTTCACAAAAATAGTAAAAGGCATACTCCTGACAGCAGAGCAGCCACTCTGCTAAAGGTCAAGTCTCTCTTCAAAAGGAATAGCGTCTCTATTTAAAAAAATAATTAAAAAAAAAAAAAGTTGTTAAACAAATTAACATGAGCAAAACACATTTTGCTCTAAATTCATTCCCCAAAACAGCTGAAAAACTTTCAAAAAATTATTCAGCCCAAGGCTGAATTTTGCCACTAGGCAAAATACTTGCTCACCTAGTTTAAGAAAAGAATATAAGCTATAGAAAACAGCAACCTCTGCTTTAACTATAAGCAACCTATGCATACATAAATATAAAATCAAAAATACAAAACTGAGGTGTATTAAACAAGATGCATAACTCTCATAACTAATACATTTAGTCAGAAAGATTAATCTCTTTTCTCTACTTACTTGGCTGCTTCTTCATTAAGGATCTTTAAATAACGTTTTACTGGGGAGAGAAGTTCTGGGATTTCCAACAGTGCATTTTGTAATAGAGGAGTTTTCACATGAGAATGTATGACTGGAACAAGAGATTGAATTTCCAAGTCCAGACGAGACAGGGTGCTGACTATCAAGAAAAACTCTTGGGTTGAGCACTGAGAAGGGAAGCAATGTCTAAATCATTACAATGTATTACATTTACATTAAAGCCTACAGGATTTTTGCTTTTTGAAAATGAGACAAAATACAGTTAAAATGTATGGAATCTGTAACACAACAGCATAATCTTATCACATCTTATAACCTTATTCACAAGGTTAATAAAGCATACTAATTGTTTTAACTATTGTTGTTAGGAGTCAGTTGAGAGCTCATCTCCATTATTCCTGTTGCTGATGGAGATGTGTAACACATATGCGGTAGACAAATAGCAGAAAAATGGGCTAATAATGTGCAAACAGCAAAAAAGCAGGTTGAGTAATTTTGTGAGTACCACTACTTGTCCATACGGGCTTGTGCATCTATGTGTTGTTATCTGAATCCCCAGGCTGCTGTTTTGGCAAGAGAGGGTTTGGAAAGACAAGGTCAGGCACAGAGAGGGAGAATCTTGGAACAAGACCACAGAAAAGAAAAGAAAAACAACCCACAGAAAAAGAAAACCAACAGTCACTGCTTAAAGTGCTTGTAGCTATTGCCAGCTTGTAATAGTAACTGGTTACTCCCAGGTCTATGCAATGAGAACAGCTCTGGCTGGTTACTCCCAGGTCTATGCAATGAGAAGACTAAGGAGAACACACTAACCCAATCTTTGTCTTTCATCCTCTCCTCACTACAGAGTTATGAAAGAGATTTTTCGATCTCTTTCAGGCAGCAAGCAGGGTATCATTGAAAGGGAATCTCCCAGATTGGAACCAATATCACACAGCGCTTTCAGAGTGTGGTTCATGATATCCACAGAGTAGGAGCATATTGGTTCCCTTAAGGCAGCTTCTCGCCAAAAGCAGTGACTTGTAAAAGAGAAACTCTTCTCTCTTTCTTTTTTAACCACTAATATTACTTCTGATGTGGCTCACATATTTTGCTCTTAGATTCTAGATGCTCTTCAGTGTCAGCACAGTTTGTAACCTTTAGCTCATTTTCAAGAATTAGCATTCAAGGTCAGAATTTGGCAAGCAGTTAACAACTCTAACAAAACAATCCGCCTTCTGCCACGCTCCTAATCCCCCCTACTCAGTTGTCCCATTCAGCTCTCTGTTACCTAAGGTACTGATGCCCCACCTATATAAATCAGGTAATACCGATTCTGAAATGGTCTTTACAGAAGTAAGTCTGCATTTGTGCTACACCATATTTGCACACCAAATGGGAACCCAGCCCTACGAGACACTTAATGCCTTCAAACCCTGCTGAATTCAGTGGCACTCCAGGACATTTCCATTTCAGGAGGTTTGAAAAAAGTTGTCCATAAATAATTATGCTGATATTTTTTCATATTTTACTGATCCGTAGAAACATTCCTTCTTCAGTCTTCTGAACTTCTCCCATCAGTCAACTGACAACATTGGAAAAAACAGTTTATTTTCCTCACCTGAGCATGCAAGGAAGGCAGCAGGATATACGGCATGCTTCTCCTGTAATATTCTTTGTACGCCACCTTTCTTGCATCCTTCTCTTCCCACATTCTTTCTCTCCCCTACCCAGGCAACATACAGTCTAGAATTTAATTTCTGGTCAGTATTTTCCGGTGATCAGCACAACACTGATTACAGAACATGTAGGCTTCAGTGAATCACTATTTCACAAAACACATCTACAGTTTTATTTTGTCATCCCTTCTCTCTCAATTTCTCCCCAGAGGTAAACTTTTCTCTTTCCTTCCCACACCCTTATGCAAGAACTAAGACAATTCTTTCATCTATTACACTGTAGTTATTTCTCCCAAATAACTTCTGTACCCAAACACGGAAGCAAGTATTAACAAAAATGCTGGGCTGAAAAGGAACATTTTCTCTCCTTCCCCACACATGTAAACCCTAAAATAAGTTTGCTCTGTAATGCCTACTTGAACATGAAGGCTGTCTAAATGCAACCTTCTGAAAACCACAAAAAATATATTAAGCCTTTAACTCCAGTTACAGCCTTAGGCCTCTTCTCATTAAATACATGTCAGTACTGTGACCGCTGATGGAAGAGTGGCCTCCACGCTGTATAAACGCAGAGTAAAGATACATATAAACCTACAGCCTTGGCAATCTACTACAAACACTGGAAGTTGTAAATGACTGACAACGATAAGGCTAGAAAGAAAATAATTTAAAAGGTTAATTAGTGTGTTCACTGATTTGCTCGATCATAAAGGCTATATTAAACAAAATAAAAGAAAAATCATTCCTGGCCATTTAAAATGTACTCAATCACATGAGTAAGTAAATGTAACTGAAGTTATCATAAAGCCAGTATCTGTTAGATACTCTCCAACTAACCTGAAGCATGGCTGTGTGCTGAAGAACTGAACTTGTCATACCAAACAGGCAAAGTTGATAGACTTGACTAAAGGAATATGTAATTTAACCATGATATTTCATGACATTCAGGAAGGCCAGAAAGATTATATTCTGAATGTTTCTGGAAAACCTAAGTTCATCTTTGTTTCAGATCCATGGAAATTAGGGATAGAAGAGACCCATCGGTGTTTCCCCTGCAACTGCTCAGTTTTTCTGCATGAGTTTTCTTTTTGTCTGCTCTTGGACCCTTATATTCCAAGAAACTATGTGCTTACCACTTCCTTTCAGAAACTGAAATCCATAAAGCAAATTATGAAATCCATAAAGCAATAACTATCATCATGTAAAAGTTTTATCCGATAGTCTAAATTTCCCTTCCATTAAATCAATCCCAGTATCTCTAGTTTTACTCTTTTGTATTACACTAACTCAACTCCCTCTTTGCTGTTAACACCCTTCAAATATCTCTAAACCTTCTGTTCTCCTTTAATCATCAATTTAACCAAACTATAATCTTTTAATCTTTCTTCATAAACAATCCATTATTCCGCCTCATGAAAACTTCGGCTCTCCCCTGCACTTGCTGCAATTTATCAACATCTTTCTGATAATCTGGAATCTACTTATTCTATCTTGTAAAAGCTCTGACAACAAAATACAGCAAAATAATAAAGCAGTAAATCTGTTAATGCCATTTGAAGTCAAAACTCAAAGAAAAGGCCTGAAAGACTAAACAAATTATAAAACCAGGCTTGGACTCGAAGTCAAAGTAAAATACAGTACGACTGACTGCATCATCATCATCAACCTTGATGCAGATAAAGGATAAAATTCTGCAAGACTTCCCTTGACTATAGAACGTACTCAAGGAGGCAAAGGCTGAAGCCCTGCCATGCGAAATCCAAAGTGGGTCCCTGGCAGACAGCATTAAGTGATGCATAGGAGAACGACGTCCAGAAAAAAAGAATGAGCAAATATGAACAGTAAGAAATACATCAGTTAAACAGGTAGTGTTTGTTTGGTTTTTTCGTTAAATTGTTCTTTTAAAAAAAAGAAACCAAATAGGGACTTCATTAGTAGACTATCTATATGAGGGTAGGAAAAGGAAAAGATTTTAAGAATACGTAAGATGACCTGTCTGAAGTGTTCTTCAATAAGAGTAGTGAGGCTGGTGAAGGTGAGGCTTCAATAAGGGGAGGAAGCTAGATTCCAAGGCAGTGTCACCTACAAAAGAACCAGTGGGGAAAAAAACCCCAAACTTGGTCATGTACAAAAGACATGGTAAACAACCCTGCAAGTTACAATGAAACTTCTCAAAGGATGCGTAATGAACATGCTGAAGCTTCTCACAACAACTCTGATAACCTACACACCATAATACTAATCTAATGAGTTAAAACCTCTTTGATTCTACTGTGAGCTACAGCCTACAGCACCTTTGAAGAATGGGAAATTGAGCATGCTTCATCACGAACAACTTTGTTAAACACAACGTTCCCAAGAAAGAGGGTGAACATACCTCTTTTGTGCTTATTCAGAGTATTACTGTTTCCCCTGGCTTGATTTTAGTAACACTGCAGGACTTTGCATCTAAAATTTAATGGCTCCACTGCAGAAATGATTTACTAAGCAAATGGATAACTTGGAACAGATGCATAAAAATAACTCTGAAAAGCTGGACTCCATTGAAGTGGGACTGAGTCCATTTAAATCCTAAGTAACCTTACAAAAGATATATAGCTGTGTTATGAATTAGATGCTTTTAAAATACAGTAAAAATGGTTTACATAAAGCAGGATTAATGGTCTTGCATTCACGGAAGATTCTCACAAGCATATTCAATGCTATTTTTGAAGTGTAATTTTGAAATGCTGTCAATGATAGCTACAGCTTCTCTGGCACTAAAAAAAAAACCCTCAGAGTTGACAGTGATGCCAAACAATAGTTTCAACCAGCAGTTTATCAAACTGTACTGAAAATGGTATGGCTGGCACTGAGAAGAATGCACGAAAGATGCACAGCAGTATGCCAGGTCTAACACCCTTTCAACAACACTGAAAGCAATTTAGCCTTGTTTGCATTAGTGAAATTGTTTCCAACAGATCTAAAAGGGAGCCACAGAGACCCACAGCTGACAGCCATTGACCACTCCAAGTTAAAAGCATTTCAAATTAAAAAAATGGGAGCTGAAATGCAGCATACATTTATTACTCCTTTCAAACTGTAATAACTACCTTTATGTTTTTAGTATAACGAGCATACTATTTTTGGTTTAGGAAAAGTGAGGTATTTAATTTTAAGGTTACTATGTCCCCTTGTTATGACACTATTTATATTAATCAGCTTAATGGGAAACAATTTGCTCAAATCAGCATTTAGTACTACAAATCTAAGAGTACCTGTGATGCAGATTCTTTAAAAGAGTGAAAGTACAGTACATGCAAGATGTGCATAATGCTATCATAGAATAAAAAATGTAAAAAGTTTAAGATCTGTGTTAGCTGAAGTCAATAATATATTCTGCTATGGGGAGAATTTATTTTAAACATTCTATACAAACAGAAACTAATTTCCTGAGCATATATAACAGGTACTGATTTCATACGAGAAAAAAAAAATATCAAAAATACAACATTTTTCTCTGAATCGTCTGAAAATCGCACCATCTTCAATGAAATATCAAACATACCTTCCAGGGAAGGGCACATTTTCAGCATCATTCTGGTTGACAAGCTTATGTGAAAGATTTTAAACACTTAGCACCGAGCTGAGCAGCACCCTTCTCCTCTGAAGAGTCTGAGCATGACAGTGAAGTAGTGAAGTATTCACTGGAAAACTGAAAGGCAAATCGCACAGGCTGCAGGCAGCCAAGCAGCAAATACTCCCCTTGTAGCAACTGCCTGCTTTATTTTGCACAGGTGAGCAGCCTGGAAAGTGGGCAGCAAAGTTTTAGAGACTGATTCAGAACTGAACAGGTTTTCTGAAACACAGCAACTTGTGAGGAACTCCAAATGAGAGAGAGCCCATGGCTGAAGTTAGCAGCAGAACAAACTGAAATGACGTTTTACTACACGCCCTGGTAAGGTTTGATTATTGACCTCACTCCTCATGTAGGAGCTCAGTGAAACAGCTTCACTTTAACGTGTGCTGTAAATTCAGTGACCATTTGTTACGGTGATTCCTGTCCACTTTGGTGACTGAGCTTTAGTCAAAAAATAATGTTTATTGAACAAAGGGTACAAATAAGATCAACATTTATGGATCAAGCCTGTATAAATATTTATCTATGTAGGAGTTCAGTGAAACAGCTTCACTTACCGTGTGCTGTAAATTCAGTGACCATTTGTTACGGTGATTCCTGTCCACTTTGGTGACTGAGCTTTAGTCAAAAAATAATGTTTATTGAACAAAGGGTACAAATAAGATCAACATTTATGGATCAAGCCTGTATAAATATTTATCTTCTGAAACACACTGCATGAAACCAGGCATGAAACCAACAAGCAAAATCAGGACAGCCCTGCAGGACACGTTTCTAACAGTACTGATGGCATGTTTATGCTGTAATGGCTTTTAGATCTACTCAAGCATAGGTCTCTGACGGCTCTCTTGCCATTCTGTGCACTCCAAGACAAGGCTAAGCAGTTATCACTTCAACTGAGACAAAAAACTAGGGTCCTGCCATTCATATTTCCCACTGTCCTGAGATGCAGATCACAAAAGGAAATGCATGGGGCCTAAGTTTTGTTCTGTTATTTGGTGGCTTTCTCCAGGGGCTAGAGGGCACGGCTGAACTGGTTATGGAAAACATTGAGCCAATGTGTCTTCCAGCAAGATCTAATTCTGCATCAGCTCCAAGCACTATTTAGACAAAACTCTTGACAATTCCTTGTCTCCCAGTTTCCTTTTGAAGTCAACTTCTGAATGCTACCAAGGAGTCTTCGAACAGTTCACCTCCAGCCATCCTTCTCTTGTCATAGAGAAGGGTGGGGCCATTCTGCTGTTGACAGCGTTTCTGCCTGGCAAGATGTCAGGTGTTGGAGCTGCAGGAACTGAGAAGAACCACCAGTCCTTGTATTAATTCCACTCTCCACAGCAACAGTAACATCGCTCTTGTCTCCTTAACCGTTCCCATAGCCTTTTCCAGGCTGGGGCAAACTCGGAGCTGGTAGTATGACCTCCAAGGTAATACCTAATTCCCACTACAAGAACACTGTTCTAACTCCAGATTGCTCATACCTGGGGGTAGATCAGCAATGGTTTTTGGTGGTTTGGGTTTGGGGTAATGGGAATTTGTGGAGGGTCAGATTAACAACTGCCAATTTGAATGATGCTACCAGATAAGAATCATTAGTGGACTTACAAAAAAAAAATTAATAAATCAGACCAGGAAAATATACAATGATACTATTTATCAGAAGAGGTCCCATAAGGATGCTTTGCCTTGCAAAGTCAGTTCCAAAACAAAGCATTGTTTTGCTGTGATTTTTTTTTTGTTTTCTCTAGAGGTTACTGGTGCAAAGTGCATTGCACAATAAAAGTTCTGCAGTGGCTGATCTGAATGAAAGACGTTTGGAACGACTAAGACAATCCAGCCACCTCTGTATGCTTCAGAGGTCTCCCTTTGTGAAACATAGGATTCAAATACTCATGTATGCTATGGGGAGAATTTATTTTAAACATTCTATACAAACAGTAACTAATTTCCTGAGCATATATAACAGGTACTGATTTCATAAGCGGGGAAAACAAAAAAAAAAATCAAAAATACAACATTTTTCTCTGAATCTTCTGAAAATCGCACCGTCTTCAATGAAATATCAAACATACCTTCCAGGGAAGGGCACATTTCAAATACTCAAATACTAACGTAACTGAAGTCTAAAGCGCCTGAAGGATGAAATACTGTCACGTTCACCTATTTTTCCTGCAGTTGACACTGCATTAACAAGCCTGCATTACAGCATATTCCTTTAGTTAAGCCATCAGTGTGCTCCACTCAGTTTTGGAACCCTTAGTGGGAATGAAATTGCAGGGAACCTCATTTTGAGCATGTGGGAGATAGACATCTGGAATTAACAGAACTGAAATGGCAGCATTTACTGGATATTCGGGAGGGGGAGAGGGGTGGAAATAATGAAAATCAGTCACTCCGTATTCTTGAATATGTATCTGCTTTGCAGGGACCTTTCTTCAGGCTCCATATTCACTGTCTGTCTAGACTGCAGAATCTGTTTTCCAGAGTCTGCTTTTGATTCTTTATTCAAAACAGACCCCATCTTTCAGGGACGCCGTTGTCTCCTCAAAGTCCTAAAGATCTTCAGTGCTTTGGGCACTCTCCACAGTGTTCTGCAATGGATGACAAACTAGATTTTTACCAAGAGAAACTATTTCATCAAAGGAAAAGTGTGTGCTTGGAGCTTTTCCCTCCCATTTACCCTCCTTAAGGATTCTGCTGGAGTACTTCTCTCCTGCACTTCTTTCCAACATCTGATTCACTAAACACATATCTTCACACTACAGTGGCTGTTGTTAAGGCAAACTACATTGTCACCTCATTCCAAAAATGACATGAAAATCCAGGGCCTCTGAATGGCTCTACCTAAATAGCGGCTTGAAAGCTGAGAAGAGTAAGCGGCCCTACAATAGGAAGGGACACCTGAAGAAACAGATACAGACTAGTACAAAAATTAAAAAAAAAAAAAAAAAAAGGAAGCACAGGATAGCAGTGGAGGATTGCCAGGATGTTGTGAAATACAGATGTGTCCCTACAAACCTTACTACATATCACTCAACCTGAAATGAGTTAAAACCATTAAAAAGTGAATTACCTAATTCCTGGACAGTTGTTTTGAAAGAACAAATGTATCATGTGGATACGGTACATTTTAGAGGATGGGGAAGTTGGTGGACACTCCCTCTTTTCATAAACTTCATTATGGCTAGACCTCTGTATCCATTCATTGAAATACGTGAGTCTTTCCACGTGCCTAACACTGCAACACATTAGGGCTTTAAAAATTATACAAGAACTGAGTTTCAGATTTTCAGAGAGTGGAAACCTTTGTGCTGTACCATCCAAAGAAATTACAACTTTGCTCTCCTTCTACCCACCTATTCCTTTACCTAAAACAAACTGTCAAAACCTCTAAATATAACAGTGAAATAAAAGAACATGAAGTACTGCACAGGTGCTATTAGCACATTAATCTGCTTCAACTAAGAATTGTCAGTGTCTCATTACAAGTAAATCTTATTAAAATGTGCAAGTGAGATCCAAATTACAGAAGTTATAAACAAATTAACATTCATTTGAAAACAGCTAACTACAGCCAAGTGGTTTCGTTTGCAAGTGTGATTTTAGATAAGCATAGAGAATGCAATGCTTTGTTTTAAAGGGAAATAATTTATGGCACAAGGACCTATTGCACCATCCCATCTTACTGAATCCAGCCACTAAATCATGAGTACCATAGATGTTTTTCCTGTTAGCATTAGCAATACAATGTATGTATTCTAGAACCCTATTCAGACATTTCTTCTACCAGCATATCACTGATAACAAATAAAATAAGATTCTACCACAAGGCAAAAATAATTTTTATAAACTTGCATCCCTTTATTATGTCAGCCTCAGCCTTGGTAAGAAGAAAATCTTTTTAAACAAACATGCAAAAACTATGGAAGTACATTAAGATAGAATGACGCCATTTAGAAAATAATAAGTTAGGGTAATTATGGGTATACCTTTTTGTGAAAAACACTGCAGAGGCCTCTCTCTATATCTGGCAGCTTACAAAGAAGATTTCGAATCTGACCAAACACACTGGATTCTGACAGTAGAATTTCAGAGACAGCATCAAGCCGGGCATTTACTTCACTGTAAAAGAATAATCATAAGATCAATAAATAAAACTTGTGTTTCTCTGAGAGGAAGGCATATAGCTAGTGAACTTTTTCCTTTGGTTTGTTTTGGTTTTGTTGACTTTGACTACGGCCACATTCTCGTAAGTAAGTAGAAGAATTAAAAAATGCAGAGGATCTTGGGCTTTCATTCAAGAGGCAAGGAAGATCCTGGATATAAGCTCATTATCCCCCCCTCTACGCTCAAAACAGCCAAATACACACTTCAGTGCCCATGTCTACATGTTCTTCCAGTGGTATATAACATGAGCAACACTGAATCCTGAATATTCAACCCTAAATTTGCAGTCAAGTACCTGGGGGAGGGGCAGGGGAAGTTTACATTTGAACTTTATGTAGCATACTTCATTCCAACAGGGTATAAACATTGGTTACCATTTTGCCCTCTACTTTTGATCCAGACCAGCAATTGGTCATTACATGAATCAGAACCATGTTAGGGTTTTGGCTTCTTTGTTTTTTCAAAACCTGTAACATTAATCTCCATATTTCAGGACTGAAGTCAACCAACGAGCAAACACTTTCTATGTGAAGAAACAATTCTATAGTTATTTGCACCTTCCTTACAATCATATTCTTACAGCCACTGTCAGAAAAGAGCTTTAAAATGGACAACCTACTGTCAAGGTTCATCTCGATTTACATTGCTGCTAATGGCACAGCTACAACTTCCAAGATATTCATGAACTGGCTGCAGATTGCAGAGCTAAGGTAAACTCCATTTCTGCTTTTTGCAAACAAATTGCCTCAATGCTGCTTTCTAGGAAAAGACTAAGATTAGAGGTGCATGGGTGCATCCAAAACATACAGGTTAGGAGTTTGTCTTCTGAGCTAGTGAACCAAAGCGCTGTCAGTGCATGCAGCCCAAAGGAAATAGAGCGAAAGGTAGTGAGCTCACTGTAAGACAGCAGTGAAAGAGATGTGTCAAAGCTGAATAGCAGGATTCCTCTGAATGTAGCTTTTCCATGTTCAGGCTTTATCTCTGAGGTAATTGTGTGCACTACAAAAGAGAGTCAACTAGGTGAAAGCTGTGCTAAGATTCGCTGAGGTTTCACAACAAAAACATCTGCTCCAGATCATATGTTTCCCCAGACTCCCCCACCAATGTGCCGCTGGGCACGCTCTGCGGGTACCGGCACGCTGAAAGGCTTTAGCCGGCATTTGGAAAGTTTCCAGCAAGTAAGGCTGAATCTGAAACATGATGTTCCAGGAAACTTGAAAAATCCTCAAGACATCCCAGTGCTTATTTTAAAATCCTTGTGTTTTCTTTCAGAATGACAACTAAGCTTTATCACAACATTCTCCTCCTGAGACATGAAAGTTCAAAAATCCCCATGCTGCTGTGTGTGAGTCCATCCACCCTTGCAGGTTAGGAAAAAACCAGTCTTTTGATAACGACACTTTGTATACCAGCCAAGTGTGTGCAAGGCAAATACAGCCCAGCCCACGTCTGTTCTCACCGACCGGCGAGATGCCTAGAGCTCAGCAAGCAGAGAGGGATAAAAAGTAAGGATGCAATCAAAATGTAAGATTTCAGGGAAGACTGCCTGTCTTGCCCATGGCTTTTACTGCAGAATTGCCATGCCACTTGCCACTGCAGCTGCTAACAAATACTATCCGTGAGGAAATCAACGAAGTTAGGGAGCTCTACAGGTTGCAGGCATTACAACAGACCGGCAGTCAGAGGCCTCTGGCCCTGAAGACAGCTAAATCTAAGAGTCCTTGAAATTTTATTACACGGCATGTGAAAGGGAGAACATCATGACTGGATGTGCACTTGGATACACATAAATTTAACGGCATTTAAGTGCCAAGATTTTTTCAGTGACATACTGCTTTATCCTAAAACAGTAAAACCATCCCCTCCCTCATCCGTCACAAACGACATACTCATTCCCAGAGCAGCTTTGCTGTACAGTGCCAGGATTTGCAGTGCCCCACCTGCCACCTTCTACCTGGAGTGCAGGTAGATGCACTCCTCCACAGCCACCATATGAATTGGGGACAGACTCTCTGCTGTCCTGGGCACCTTGGGAACTCACTCTGTTATCTCTGAACTGGACAGCAGACTCTCCGATCACACCACACAAAATACTCCACCATCCTAAAAGACTGTTTTTTCCCAGCCCTTAGGAAAACAGAAACATCAGACTTTGTAGGCTCTGCTTAGCAGCCCTGTTGCAGGTCACAACAATACCTTCTTCTTCCCCACCACCATTCCACTCCTCCAGCAATGCCAAATGCACAAAGTTAAACATTTCTCCTGTTCCTCTGGGCAGCCAGGCAACCTGCAAGCAACAGCAGCAGACAGCAGGTACCCTCAGTGCAACTCCTCAGACCTATGTTTTCAGCATAGAACACATCTGAGCATTAAATCCAATTCTTAAGAGCCACAATCACGTATCTGGTGTAGACTGGGCAAGGTTACTAAAAGTTACGCAACCAAATAACCAAAAAGCAAGCTGTTGGCATCCACACAGCGTATTCAAAACAGCAGAGATTTAAGCTTTGTACATCAATTAGTGAGGCACTCTAAATTACAGCTGGATAATGGAAAGGAAATTGAGAAGTGTTAGTATCAGTGACAGAGTAATAAAATACCCCAAGTACGCAGCTTTGAAGCTGGCAAACGGTTACACTGAAATTCTAAAAGGTCAGTATCATGAGCCACAATTACATTTTCATGGAGAATTATTAAATCCACTGTACTTGAGACCCTGGAACACTCCTCTGCATGAAGGAATACTGAACTGTTAAATTATAAACACATGTACCTTAAAGAAGAAAATAATCTGTGTTTTTATTATAAAAAGCATGTGTAAGCAGCAGAATTATGTTCCAGAACCCTGTCACTTAATTTAAACAGCATGATTATATTTATGTGGCCAATTGAAAACACACAGTAATATGTAAAATAGATGCAGATATTAAAAAAATCCCTCCCTTCAAAGCTTAATCTGCACTTTAATCATCCTCACATATGGCTATGTTACTCTAGCTCCAGTAATCTAAAACTAAGCATCCATACAGTTTTTCTGCTTTAATCCCACAAGTAAGAAAGGGTCAGGAAAATGGCATCCAGTACTAAATGACCCATTTTTTCCACCTGTAAACAAAACATACTGGGATTCCTATTTCAAAAGCCAGAAAGTACAGTGAAGAACCATGTAAAACTACATGTGTATGAGGAGGGAAGGACAAGGAAGAGAAATGATCAAAGAGCCAGATGATGAATTTCAAAGTATGCTTTTAAACTTCAAATATTTATACTTAAACTAATAAACATTTTGTTGAGCCCAAATATATTATACTGATCAGTTGTTAAACCACCTCAAAAGAAATTTGTCCACACTGCACAGTTACTCAGCACATTTGATGTACAGTTTGAGGTTTCTAATCTCTGCATGTTCCGGAAAAAAAATTCTACCACTAGAAAATTTGAATCTAACATTATACAAAGAAACTCAACAGCTTATTCTGTCTCACTGTCTCACATTTTATAAACTGGCTACTACTTCATTCTCTGTTTAGGTGCGATATTAGCCTACTCTTTTCCATCTGTATAAACCATGTCAGCAATCTGAGCTCTATCCAATTTTCCAAACAATCTTCTGTGAAATAATGTAACATAAGCCAGCAGACTAAAAGCAATAAGCTTACTTCTGCTGTACTCTCCATCTAAGAATAACATCATTAATATAATACTAAAATCACTTTGCAATGTATTTAAACATAACAAAATCTAACTGAAGAATTTTTTATTCTAGTCATTTAAAAGAACTACTTGAAATTAAATCATGAGATACTCCCCTGTATTATTCTGCTGCCAGATACGTGAACAATACAGAAAATTAGCAAATACGAAAATATTTGAATCCTGAACTAGGAATTATTTTGACAAAGCAGAAGGCTGCAGATATGAATGCATTGCACTGAATTAACATCTGAACATCTTAACAACCTAAATAGCATTTCTGGTTGCTAGTGTGCTAGCAGATCTGCTAATCTCTTGTACATTGAAGCAAATCTAACATTTTTAGATGTGATAATATATCATTACATTTAAAGCAGAGTGAAATTGATAATGTAACTGCTATAAGAACCGCAGAAAATTTTCAGTCATATAAGGTTTTATTTTTATGCAAGATAAATAAATAAAATTTATCAGAAATCTCTTAACTTATGATAAATGCACAAAGTATGAGTTCATTCATCATGGTAAGGACATAGCTCAAGTACAGTGAATATAAAATTTAAACTCATTTTATTAAATCTGTTTAGAGACGACAGCGATCTGTAAAACTACCAGTCACAAGAACTCAACACCTGAAAAAATATAATGAAAAGCATGAAAAAAACAAACAGTGCTTTCCATGAACTATATTATCTAGATCAAAGCCTAGCAGCCTCCTGCCTAACTACAGCATTTCAAAGAAAGAAAATGTATTACTTAAACATTGGGAAATTGCAAGATACACATGGGGATCAATTGTGCCTGAGGAAGTCCCTGAACTGCAAATTGCTGGAGGCTGGGAGTCTGCTCTGGGGAGGTAACATTACCCAGCTGGCCTGTTCTCACACTGTCCTCTGACACTGCGTAGTTTCAAACACAGGGCAAGGTGAAGGCTATTCTGACTTTTGTTGCTTTATATTTTGCCTCACTTAGATTTTTTTTTTTCTTGACCTTCCTTCAGAACACAGTTTACAGAGACTTTATATGAGTTTACCAAGTTAAATGCCATGTTAAATAGGACAGTGTCTTCTACTTTAGACCACCCTCTTTCATAACAAGCAATTAACGCCATCAAAACCCAAAGCCGTGGTAGAATTACCACTATGCAATCAATAAACTGTATATGTCTTTTTAAAGAACAAGCAAACAAAAAAACAGTCTATCGCTGGCTTTTTTACTTAAGTGGCTAAGTTAGAATCTGGCTAACTTTACGGGATAAATCT